GACAGTTATCTGATAACTAACTGACAACACACCTAACCTTCAATTTGACAACAAACGAGATAACGCTACTATAGCACCAGAATCAGCGGCAGCTCGCGGCCACATTGATGACTCGACTGACAATGCGAACTGGCATACTTTGTGCTGTCTTATTTTGACAGTTAGCATATCTGAGATATATGGACATGCCACAAATATTGGACGTTTAGATGGTCCATTTTGAGGTAAGCGTAATGCCATTTGTGGCTCATGTCTCAGCAAAAAAATTAACCAATCTTCTTCGATTTTTTTTCAATCTTCATTTTTTCAGTCTAAATATTTCAATCTATACAGGGTGTACCTTAATGATATGGAAATATTTAAGGGTGTGAATCTACTTGGAAAATTAATGTTAGTTTGCTTTATAAGCTATGCTCCCAAAAATGTTTCCTAACAGAAACTCGAGGTGTTGAAGTTTTAGGAAAAAAAAATAGAAATTAATTAATATTTTTGTGCCATAGCTTATGGGGCAAACTAACATTAATTTTCATGCAGATTCACATCCTTTAATATTCGCACATCATTAAGGAACACCCTGTGTACCTAGTCGGGAACAATTAAATTAACTAGTTTCTCAAACTATCCAGACGCCTTTCCTACATTATCTGTGCGCTGGGTATGTACCTGTATTTTGTTAATGTATGTATTCGGAGCATAACGATTGCCTTTCAGACACCTACAGTCTCGAATATGTATAAAACCATGCGTATATCAGCTAAACACGTTTTTCGACTTTTAAAACCAGAAGCTTAGTAGTAGACTTGCTATTAAGATAACAGTTTTCGTCAATAGGACTATTGTTTGCAAGATTTTACGTTTGTCCATTCTGTTTCTTCTATGAATCGTGCATGTTGTAAATGGTATAACTTGTCAGTAAAAAGCAATAGCTCGAGGGCCATCAAAAGTCTTTATTATGTTCTAACTGTAATTTTCGTACACCGCTGGCGGACGACAGTTGAAAAAATAGAGTAGAAACTAGGTTTTACAGTTTTTCATTATAGGTTCTCTTCATGTGGTAGCATTTCATATACTCGTACTTTGGAATCAACCACCATCGATTGTTAAGCTATGAATGATTACGTAATGATTACAAAAGGCACTTTTTATATGCTCCATTACAACTAAGGCCTGTGGTCCAAGTAACGAGCGTGTAGACTCTAGAGCCACGAGCTGGTATCATCTGTTTCGATGCAGAGCTACATGTTTCGGAACCGTCGATCCTGGTTGGTGAAAAAACTGTATTTTGGAAGTATTATATTATCCATTTTCAGGCACCATGGGAATTGTCGTTCTCACTGTCCTTATTTTCCGTTTGCGACGACTGGTGTCTCTGTCAAAATTCGAAGTACTCACCCCTCCACTTGCAAATATACCTCGTATCCAGTATTATTGTGTGATCCCTTTAATTTCTTAGAAAACGTACCACTCCTTCTATGGTAAAATCATTTGGTAGTTTTGCGTTGAAAGTTTTTGCGCCATATTAGAAAAATTTCACATTATGAATCTTTGCTCTGTTGCCATGTTTATTTTCAGGTAGAACTAGCCAAATTACAAGCTAAGCTAGAACAACCTGTACGAACCTGTTTTCACGATTGAATAACATTAACGTACATGTGCAGCTTATTCTAACATGTTTTTGGGTAGCTACATGGTCGGCCAGCAAGCTAAAATTCAGAATGACCATGTCGAATCTCATAAACACAAAAAAACGAGTTTAGTTGTCAAACTGACATATACTAAGTGACATATAAATCCGAACACCCAGTTTAAATGGTTTTATTTTAATAAAATTTTGTATAAGTACTTAATGAAGCATAATAAGTAAACGATAAAAATTTCAAAATGATTGCACTGCTGTAAAGCCCTTTGACCTTTAATAATGTGTGGATGCACCCTGATGTGCTACGCATTCTCCAACGCGCCTAGGCATGCTTCTGATCAGGTGGTCAATGTCCTCCTGTGGTATCTCATTCCAGGCAACCACCAACTCCTCTCGAAGTGCTTCTAGAGTCTGAGGAGGACGTTGCAAATTGAGCAATCTCCTACCCATCATATCCCACACGTGCTCAATTGGGGATAAGTCAGGAGATCTTGGTGGCCATGGTAACAATGTGACATCATTATGTTGAAAGAAGTCTATTGTGACTCTTGCAACATGTGGTCGGGCATTATCTTGTTGGAAAGTTGGATCTGCAAGGGTGTCAAGATAGGGTAAAAGTTGGGGTTCTAGAACTTCGTAGATATAACGCTGCGCGTTCATGTTTCCTCTGATGAAGATTAAAGGTGACCTGCAACCATAAGCTATAGCATCCCAAACCATAACTCCAACAGTGTGATGAACATGTCTTTCAACAAAAAACTGTAGATTCCTCCTTTCACCACGTCGTCTTCTAACCCTGGCACGACCATCGTGCATGCCTAAACAAAATCGAGACTCGTCACTAAAGACAATACTGCTCCATTCCTGATCCCAGAGTGACCGTTGTCTGCACCACTCAAGGCGATTACGTCGGTGTTCTCGAGTTAAAGGGAGGACCCAGTGTGGCCGGTATAAAAACAAGCCAAAACTTCCCATTCGTCGGTAAACACTTCGCATGCCAATAGGTCTTCCGTGTTCTGCAAACCATTCATTTGCAATGGACCTGGTAGTGGAGAAACGGTCCCTTAAGGCCAATAACCTTAGGCGGCGATCTTCACGGTCTGTTGTTCTACGGCGGCGTCCAGTGCCCCTTGCTCTTTGCGTACGGCCTTCTAGAAGCCATGCCTGACAACACCTAACCACAGTGTCTACTTCTTTGCACTCTAACTGCAATTGCCCGAAAGAAAGTCCAGCTTCCCGAAGTCCCACTATACGGCCCCTATCAAACTCACTAAGTTGACGAAATCGTACAGGTCTCCGTACTCTAGGCATCGTAACCGATCGTAAAGGATGTCAAGAACCAAAATCCGCCAACGTTGATTCTTTACTGCGGCTGAAATATTCATTTTTAGAGCGTTAGTGAATTAAAAAAAATCAGTATAAAAACCGGAATGTCCAACTGATAAGGCTGAAAATTTTTTCACTTGTTATTTACAGTAAGATAAATACATTCACCAACTTTTATTAAACTAAAACCATTTAAACTGGGTGTTCGGATTTATATGTCACTTAGTATATTAAGAGACATAATTTTAAACGACATTAATATTTACCTAGATGCTTCTTCATATTACTATTTACCTATGGAGAGAAAAGCTTACTTATCAGTGGGGCAATGCTGTCAATTTCATCAGTTAAGTAACGAGAAAAATCTGTTATAAGAGCATCAAATGATTGCATCTGAATAAGAGACAGTATCGAAACTCTTCAAAAGCTATCGTTTAAAATATCTTCAAAAGAAGTAGCCAAAAGTGTGACTACTTTTACTTCCTACTCTATTGGCACTGGCGGGGAAGTAGATATTGTAATCGCGGGATATTTCGAAAATGAGATATTATGGATGTCATATAATGTCTCCATCATGAAAAAATTGTTCAACCAATGCGTCAAGTTGTCGATCTATCTGTCTATGTGCCTGTCTATTTGTCTGTCCGCTAATCATTGGACAGCCTATAACATGGAAAGTACTGCTCGGATTTTGATGAAATTTTCACACAAGGTTCTACTGTGCCAAGGATGAAAAAGCTTAATAGCTTTTGAAAAACGGTCCACTGGGAGTGGAACTAAAGACAAAAATGTAAAAGAGAGAAATAGCTACAACTTTGTTTTTCGCCATATTAGAAGCTCCCGATCAATTAAGAGAAGTCTTTGGATGTAAGAAATTGGGGGTGGAGGAAGCTGAATCGCAGAATATTTATAAACGTCTAACCTCAGTAATTCTGCGTGCCTATTAGGTAGATATATTTCAGATATATATTTCCTAGTATGTTTGCCCTTAAGGCGAATAATACACATTTCATACAGAGTGAGCCTGGCGAACATCCACCCTACGAATTTGTTACCTGAACAGCTGAGAAGAGGTCGTCAATGACGCTCCAGCGATTCGACAGCCGGGATAATATCATTTATTGAATATAAATAATCAGATACGGTAACATTAGAGCTGTAGTTATTCAGGTGTGAAATAACGAATAGACGTACACCAACCAGTCTTCTGCGAATATGCAGTTATTTCGTAGATTGGAAGATCTTATCTATTTTTTCTACCTTTTCTTCAAGCAAATAGATGAATAAATTGAACTGATTATACTTATCGTTAAATATACAGGCTGGCGCATCGGAAACGAAACAGACGCATTTACTGGCAGCTCAGTTTTTTTTTGGAAAAACGCTCAGACCCGTCGATTTTGTTTTCGAGGGGGACACAAGTTTGGCGTTAACACGTTGGCTGCCGTGAGACACAAATGTGGCGTCTCAGGTTGTTTTCGATAACAGCCGAGTGACACACCTTAGTTGTCTCGTCAGAAATTCTGTACTATAGCCGTGTGAGCCTGGGTGGTTGTCTCAGTCCTATATAAGTAATATGGGACTGAAAGATCACGGCTGTAAATGTCTAAAACTGTTTTTGGTTTTTGGATCCGTGACCTATAAGTGGTTACTCATGGCCTGATATATACGTAGATAATAAAACGAAAGGTATTCAAAAAGGAACCTCCTTATGAAGTAGAATACAACAAAAAATATATTTCTCATAAATATAGAACAAAAAACATGAAAATGTATAATAAAAACAACAATTATTTTGTGCGCTTATGTACCTGGAAAAAACACTCAATGCAAAAATATTTTTCACATGACGTGCACTTTAGTTTTGTTCGCGGAGTTTTTCTTTGAGCATGTGCTCGCCCAGATTCTCTTTGAAGTTTTTCATAACAAAAAGCGCATCGACGTCGGTTGTTGGTACCAACATCTTCCAAAGAATGTTGATGATCTTCAAAAATACTATGCGTATGCTGATCAACGTCAAAGCCTAAGAGTCTGTTTACGATTTCCTGCTTGAATTTTGTGACATTTTTTCGTTGGCTACTTCTTGGTGCAAAACATGTGCATTTACTAATGCACTACCAATAAGAAGCTCAATGGCCAGCTTGCGGTACCACTTCACCCCTCTGCGTAATGAGGTGGCATAAGACTTCATTTGATCCGACAAGTCAATATAGGCTTTATGTTTGTTGTAGTCAACCACAGCAGCAGGTTTTTGCAATTCTATATTATTGCCAGATCTGATGATTAGTAACTCATCGGTGTGTTTTGTGGATAAGGTAAGCACATCTCTTTTGTCCTTCCACTTCTGGATAATTATACCTGAGTTGCTTTCAGCTGCCCCAGTTTCTCCTTTTTTGAGCTTTTTATCAACAACTTGTTTAGGATTCATTTTTCGATTGGATCGGAGAGTCCCAACCAAGTGAGTGTTCCTTGCAAGTAATGCACTTGCCAACTCGATACTTGTATAATAATTGTCCGTATGTCCGTCCCTTGTCAAACAAGTCCTTTGCAAGAGTGAGCACTACTTTTTGGGATGAAGATTGAGCCTCTACACAAGTTTTATAGCTTCTTAGGAAGACTGGAACACATCTGATGAACACAGCATAAACTTGACTGAGACATCACTGATAGCATTCGCTTCTAATACATTGTTCGGCTCGCACCGGTCGACAGGTCGATACAAGTCGGTGAGACACAACATTTGTTGCACGCGGCCATTGGGTAAAACTTCATATGTTGAGGCCGCGTGACCATGCGGTGGGTCTCATCAAGAAACGTGAAAAAGAGTATGAACAAATTTTTTTTTGGGGAACACAAAACACGCGCGGGTGTTCTAGTATACTAAAACTAGTGTTTGGAAGAAAAAAAAAAGGTGGCCCCAGGGACCGATTTTTTTTTTAGTATTACGGCAGTCAACGTGTTAACACGTGCAGCCCCCTGGACGGGGGTGACACCAACTCTAAAATCTTAAAAGGAAAGGGGGGTCGAGTGATACCTTATTTTAAAGGTCTTTCAATTCCCTTTATTATGATGTAAAATACATGAGCTTCAGTTCAGTAGTTTTGAAGATTTGTTGATTTAAAGCTTAAAGTAGACTTTAATAGGTACATGAGACTAGTTTATACTACTTTCAGAAGAAATTTGACTAAAAGAATTTACTTAATAAGTAAATGCTTTTCTTCACTACGCACATGGTTTGTTTATAATTTTGTTGTTGAATATAGATATTGGAGCGTTTTTTTGTGGCAAAAAAGTTATTTCTTGAAGAAAGATAAGAAAATATCTCGTACTTATTTTAAATAGAAATTTAGTACATAGTTTGCGATTGATTTGACCAAAATTTGTTGCTAAAATAACTTGTAACGCTATATTACATAAATTAACCATGGTATATTCCACATCAAAAAGAGTTGAAATTATCGAAATATTTTTCAGAAATAATCAGGGCGCTAATACAGGCCCTTGCCATATTATTGGACTCATGCTTAAAAATGAAGTTTTCCTGGATTATAACACGCCAGTAGACATTTACAAAGCTTATCAATGATGAAATATCAAAATTTATTATAAATACAACAAATGTCACATAGAAAATTAGAAATTTACATGAAAATAGAATCTTTTCACATGAAAATACATTTTTTGCAAAAATCAGTATTTTGTATGACCACCTTTCGCAGCCAACACAGCTTCAACGCGACGTGGCATACTGCTTATATAGTTTTGAATTTTTATTTTGAGCCCTGGGTTATGTTTCCAAGTGTCATTAAGTATGTTGATCAACTCTTGCTTGGTTGTAGGGGCTTTCATCGTGACCTCAGATTTCAAAAACTCCCAGACGTTCTCGATGGGGTTCATGTCAGGCGAATTTCCTGGCCAGTCGAGAATATCTACTTCTTTTCAGCCAAACATTTTGTAATTTTTTGTGCACGATGGCAAGGCGCACCATCATGCATAAAAATTGGCTTTTCTCGTTTGTTGAACCATTTTTTCACTTGAGGGAGCAGCTGGGTTTCCAAAACTTCCTGATATTTTTCGGCATTCATTGTACCATCGACAACGTATAAGGTTCCTTGTCCCTTATAACTGATAACTGACCATACCATTACCGAAGGAGGATGTTTAATGGTCGGCACAATGCATTCTGGCTTATATTTCTCATTTGTCCTTCGCCGTACAAACTGCGATTTGTCGACCAATACTTGGAAAATCGACTCGTCCGAAAAACATACCTGAAAAACGTAATAGAATTTAGATTAAACAATATCTACAGTACAAGAACGACTTGAATATAGTTATATAGCATTTATTTACGTTCTTCCAGTTATCAGTCGTGAAATCCTTGTATATTCGTGCCCATTGGTATCGCTTTGATATCATAGCAGGTGTAAGCCTTGGTTTGCGTGCTGGTCTACGTCCAATAAGACCCTCTTCTGCTAACCTCCGCTGCACTGCTCTTTGCGAAACTTCAATGCCGGCTTCAAGAACTTTTTTTGTAAGAATTTTAATCGGCAGTTTTCGATTTTCAACACAAATATTGCGAATTTTTCGGTTACTTCTCTCTGTCGTGATTCTCCGTAGACCGCACGCACCTTTACGTTTGGCTCTGTGGTTTTCACCGAGGTCTATTTTTTGTTTAATTCGTTTTACAGAACTTTGAGAAACTCCAACAATTCGCGCTATTTGCAAAAAGTTCATAATAACAACAAGAAATATAAAGTAAAAGTAGATTTGCAGCATGAGTCTAATAATGTGGCAAGGGACTGTAGAACAGCAGAAATATTTAATGTGCGACATGAGAACAGTAACGTGCATCGAAAATATGTTTTAGAACTTGTAGCTAAATTTCGGGAAACTGGGTCATTCGCCAATAAAAATCGCAACATTGAAAATCCCATAAGGAACGAAGCAATAGAAGTGGGGGTTCTGGGCAAGTTTATGTAGATCCTACGTTAAGTACCCGCAAATTGGAGACTGTGTGTGGTAGTCGACGTACTGTCCAACGGATTCTAAAGGCCCATAGGTTTCATCCATATAAAATTCAGCTGCTACAAGAACTTAATGAAGACGATTTTGATCGGCGATTACAATTTTATGAAGATATGAGTGAACGAATTATAAACGATGAACATTTTTTATTCAACGCTTGCTTTTCCGACGAATGTTCCCTTTTCTTAAATGGCATAGTAGATCGTCATAGCTGCCGATATTGGTCCGATTCTAATCCCAGTATTTATCATGAGGTTCATACAAAGCAGCCACAAAAATTAAATGTTTGGGCTGGTATTTTTGGCGATCATTTAGTTGGTCCTTTTTTCTTACCTGGAAATTTGACCGGTGAAATGTATTTGGAATTACTGGAAGACACCATAGATCCTGCATTAACAGCCATAATTGAAAATCAGAATGATCGGCGGTACATTGCGAATAGGTTGATGTTTCAACAGGATGGTGCCCCACCACATTACGCAATACGTGTTCGACAATATTTAGATCAGACGTTTCCAAATCGATGGATTGGTAGAAGAGGTGTAAATTAATGGCCCCCAAGATCGCCAGATTTATCACCTTTGGATTTCTTTATGTGGGGCCATTTTAAAAGCAAAATCTATGCTACTCAGCCAACATCATTAGAAGACCTGCGACAAAGAATTGTGAATTGTGAATTACTCCTCAAATGTTGCAAAATGTGCGGCAACGTTTTGACCAAAATCTTTATTATTGCATGGAGAGTCATGGTGGCCATTTTCAACATGTACTTGCCTAACGGGTCAGTTCATTCTTCATTTTTAAATTACTTTGCTGCCAAATGTATTGATCTCCACTAATGATGTATTAGTTTTATTTAAGCTTTAAATCAATAAATCTTCAAAACTACTGAACTGAAGTACATTAATTTTATATTATTATAAAGGGAATTGAAAGACCTTTAAAATAAGGTATCACTCGACCCCCCTTTCCATTTAAGATTTTGGGGGTGGTGTCACCCCCGTTTAGGGGGCTGCACGTGCTAACCTGATTTTTTGCCAGACTTGTATCCCCCTCGAAAACAAAATCGGCGGGTCGGAGCGTTTTGCCAAAAAAAACTGAGCTGCCAGTAAATGTTTCGTTTTCGATGCGCCACCCTGTATTTATTATATCACACGGCTAGGCGTAAGGACTTCCACAACCGGAAAGTAGTAATGATACCAGGGCGTAAGTTCTATTCAAGTTCATAATGTAAATTTTTGCCATATTAACAATACTTTTGTCACTGATATTCCTTTTACTCTACGATCTTATGTCAGGGCACATGGATCTTCATAGCGGACAAACAATAAACATACCAGAGCAATAAAACAATAAAGTTACCAGAGCTTACTAATACTGAATGGATATAATATGCTGATGCTTAGTTAGAAGCACGAAACAGCTGTCCACGGTTTGCTGTCTTTTGGGACGAAAGCATTATGTTTAAGTACAGAGTCAACCTACATGACGTCATTTTTTCACTTATATATGGAAAGAAAAGTCGTAAAGATCTTTATGGACGAGTAAATGTACATGTGACGCATATATCCGTGATATATCGAACTAACATCAAAATAAAAATAAAATAAATTATATGCACTTACGGAGACAAAACCCATTAGAAAATGAAAGTTGCAATTGTAGAGATATATTTTTTGCGAGGCTGGAAGTGTGCGGTTGCCACATGGCATAATGAAATGGAACATTCACTTTAGCTCACCTGTTCACAATCTTCATGTTTATGATAATAATGAGAGTAATTTCGTGTTAATAATTTCTATACTCATTGCACCCGATCTACTGCGACGTCACTTCATCACGCATATTTAATCGATGCTGAATATCGAACTGATTACGTGTAAATCGAATATTCTTGAAACATTTTCCAACAATAACATTCTTAAATATGACGTTTTCGTCTGTCCAACCAGAAAGACAGCCAACCATGGATAGCTGTTTCGTCCTCCTTGGCTACTCGTCAGTGTGGTCTAGGATTGGTCGTTTGTCTCGTGTCGACCGAAAGAAAACATCATAACTATATCACATATACTAAGTGACATATAAATCCGAACACCCAGTTTAAATGGTTTTATTTCATTAAAATTTCAAATGATTGCACTGCTTTAAAGCCCTTTGACCTTTAATAATGTGTGGATGCACCCTGATGTGCGCCTAGGCATGCTTCTGATCAGATGGTCAATGTCCTCCTGTGGTATCTCATTCCAGGCAACCACCAACTCCTCTCGAAGTGCTTCTAGAGTCTGAGGAGGACGTTGCAAATTGAGCAATCTCCTACCCATCATATCCCACACGTGCTCAATTGGGGATAAGTCGGGACATCTTGGTGGCCATGGTAACAATGTGACATCATTATGTTGA